ACTACAGCTACTACTATTACTACTACTTTGGCTCATAACCAACACTGGTCCAGTATCAATACTTTAAAATCTATGCCAAGGTTCTAAATATTTATATAAAGTTCTAGAAAAAAAAATAACTTTAATATTTTGTAAAAACATTTCATTAAATGTATTTTTACAGAAAAATAGCCTATAATTTGTCATAGTTTTATGATACAGATACAGATATATGAACCTGTTATTACTAGTACTGCTACTACTACTACTAAATCTTACATAAAATTCCAGTAAGATTCACAAATTAACTTTAAAATTTGGAAAAAATTGTGAATCAAATGTATTTTTATAATTTGTCATAGGTTTACGATGATTGTAAACATAAAAAAGTATTTACCTGAAATATCTAAATACTTTACAGATACAGATATATAAACCTGTTACAACCAGTACTGCTACTACTACAGCTACTACTATTATTACTATTAATGCTACTGCTGCTGCTACTACTACTACTGTGATAATAATACTATTACTACTACTACTTCTACAACTACTACTAAATGAAGAGTTGAAGTAAACACATTTCTCCAAACATAATTACTTGGTCACGGTGATGAATATTTTCTAAAGACATGATTGTGTTTTTTTTTTAATGGGCTCCTGTTTATTGTGGTCAAACACTGATCTGTGACTAATCGTCTGCTGCAGGATTTTACCAAACGCAACATTTGTTTTGCTCAAAAGTGACAATATTTTCAGCGACGTGTGCGAAAGATTTTGACAGTTTTCTTTTCTTTTCAGCAGATTATCAGCAGCTTGGGCACAGTTTGAAAGCAAAATTATTAGCAAAGACAATAGCTAACATGCTGCTAACAAATCTCTGCTACTGTCGTCAACAAGGCACAAAAAATAAATCTACGAGTTATTGTTCTAACATGGATCATTTTATATCCATTAAAGGTCTCATGATGCTCCAAACTGACTCTTGTCGGTGTTAAATCGTGTTATAATTAGGTCTGGGTATCATTAAGAATTTGCCGATACGATACAAACCTCGATACAGTGCACTTTCGATTCGATACGTTTCAAAACGATTTGATACGGTTCAATAAAAATAAAGCCTAAATCGTGGCTGCTGAAGACAGGACTAAACCAGTACTAAACCGTTTTCAGTCTCGGTCTGGTCCCGGTCTCAATTACGGTCTCTTCCCGGTCTAAGTCCTGGTCTCATTCTTGGTCTGGTCCCGGTCTCAGTCCTGGTCTCAATCACGGTCTTGATCATGGTCTGGTTCTGGTCTGGCCCCAGTCTCAATCCCGGTCTGGTCCCGGTCTCAGTCCAGGTCTCGATTATGGTCTGGTCGATCTGGTCCCAGTCCCAATCCCTGTCTGGTCCCGGTCTCAGTCCCGGTCTCAATCATGGTCTGTTCCCGGTCTCAGTCCTAGTCTCATTCTTGGTCTGGTCCCGGTCTCAGTCCTGGTCTCAATCATGGTCTTGATCATGGTCTGGTTCTGGTCTGGCCCCAGTCTCAATCCCGGTCTGGTCCCGGTCTCAGTCCCGGTCTCAATCATGGTCTGTTCCCGGTCTCAGTCCTGGTCTCAGTCTTGGTCTGGTCCCGGTCTCAGTCCTGGTCTCAGTCTTGGTCTGATCCCGGTCTCAGTCCTGGTCTTAATCACGATCTCGATCATGGTCTGGTTCTGGTCTGGCCCCAGTCTCAATCCTGGTCTGGTCCCGGTCTCAGTCCAGATCTCGATCATGGTCTGGTCCTGGTCTGGTTCCAGTCCCAATCCCTGTCTGGTCCCGGTCTCAATCACGATCTGTTCCCGGTCTAAGTCCTGGTCTCAGTCTTGGTCTGGTCCCGGTCTCAGTCCTGGTCTCAGTCTTGGTCTGGTCCCGGTCTCAGTCCTGGTCTCAATCACGGTCTCGATCATGGTCTGGTTTTGGTCTGGTTCCAGTCCCAATCCCTGTCTGGTCCCGGTCTCAGTCCCGGTCTCAGTCCCGATCTCAATCACGATCTGTTCCCGGTCTAAGTCCTGGTCTCAGTCTTGGTCTGGTCCTGGTCTCAATCACGGTCTTGACCATGGTCTGGTTCTGGTCTGGCCCCAGTCTCAATCACGGTCTGTTCCTGCTCTCAGTCCATGTCTCAGTTGGTCTCGATCATGGCCTGGTCCTGGTCTGGTTCCAGTCCCAATCCCTGTCTGTTACCCAGTCTTAGTCCTGGTCTCAGTTTTGGTCTGGTCCCGGTCTCAGCCCCGGTGTAAGTCCTGATCTGGTCCCGGTCTGGTCTAAACTAGGACTAAATCAGGGCTAAACCAGGACTAAATCAGGACTCAGTCAGGACTAAATCAAGGGTAAACCAGGACTGGACCAGGGCCAAACCAGAACTAAACCAAGGCTAAACCAGGACTAGACCAGGACTAAGCCAGGATTAAACCAAGACTAAACAAGACTGAACCAAGACAAAATCAACACTCTATTTGAACTATTCAAGACACATTTTTTGTTTTCATTTATTGTGACTTTATTTGACTTTATTTGACTTTTTGCACAGTGGTTCCAGGAGTTGGTATGAAAACAGATGAAGTTAACAGTATTTTTTTTATTTTTAGTCCATTTTGTTTTGTTGTTGTCAGCTCTGTCCTTCGTCCTCTTGTCTCATCCTCTTCCTCAGGACGTCCCCGATGTCCAGGAGAGGATTCGATTTAGTGCTGAGAGACTTGACCGCGGCGCTGAAACCTGGACGTCTCCGTCTCTCTGCGACAAACAGACGAAAACAAGAAGACGGAGAATAAATTACAGTTTATAATTAGTAAAATTAATAAACAAACAAAAAATGTAATGTAAAGTAATGAATATTTTTTTGCAAATTGACAAAAACATGTGACTAATACTGACAAAAGTTTGCATTTCTGGGATTGATACAAATATAAACTAAACCAGGACTAAACCAGGACTAAACCAGGACTAAACCAGGACTAAACAAGGTCTAAACCAGGACTAAACCAGGACTAAACAACTAAACCAGGACCAGGACTAAACTAAACCAGGTCTAAACCAGGACTAAACCAACCAGGACTAAACCAGGACTAAACCAGGTCTAAACAAGGTCTAAACCAGGACTAAAGGACAAACAGGACTAAACCAGGACTAACCAGGAAACCAGGTCTAAACCAGGTCTAAACCAGGACTAAACACTAAACCAGGACTAAACCAGGACTAAAACAAGGTCTAAACCAGGACTAAACCAGGACTAAACCAGGACTAAACTAATCAGGTCTAAAACAGGTCTAAACCAGGACTAAACCAGGACTAAAAGGTCTAAAAGGTCTAAACAGGACTAAACCAGGTCTAAACCAGGTCTAAACCAGGACTAAACCAAACTAAAAGGTCTAAAACTAAACAGGACTAAACCAGGACTAAACCAACAAACCAGGTCTAACCAGGTCTAAACCAGGTCTAAACCAGGTCTAAACCAGGACTAAATCAGGTCTAAACAATGTCTAAACAAGGTAAACCAGGACTAAATTAGGACTAAACCAGGTCTAACCACAGACAAGGACTAAACCAGGTCTAAACCAAGACTAAACCAAGACTGAACCAAGATTAACTAGGACTAAACCAGGACTAAACAAGGTCTAAACAAGGTCTAAACCAGGTCTAAAAAATGTCTAAACAAGGTCTAAACCAGGACTAAACCAGGTCTAAACCAGGACTAAACAAGTAAATAGTAAATAGACAAGTAATACTAACAAGAGTTTGCGTTTCTGTGATTGCTTCATTTGACTGAAGTCGGTGGGTTCTGTCCTCTTCATCGGCCTGAGAAAAAACAAAACAAAAAACAAAAAGGGTTAAAGATAAAGATGTCAAAATGATCAGGTGAATAGATTTTTCAGGTCACAGTATAATCGTGAGAACTATAAAGACATCGGTCTTTTCCTGGTCTTTGGTCTTTTCCTGGTCTTCGGTCTTTTCCTGATGAACTTGCCTTGATGAGAAAGCTTTATTGCGGGACATTTATACGATCTGTGAAAAACGGCGGTGATGGAGCGAAGCGCGGAGACGAAGATGGACCAGAGATAATTGAAAACCTGCCCGTAAAAAAAAAAAAAAAAAGGCCACACTGAAGATTTACGTTTGTGGTGATTCTGCTGTAAAAATCATGTCCCGGATCATGACGGGAAAGAGACGCAAATGCAGAATAAACCAGGTCTAAACCAGGTCTAAACCAGGTCTAAACCAGGACTAAACCAGGACTAAACCAGGTCTAAACAGGCAGGTAAACCAGGACTAAACCAGGACTAAACCACTAAACCAGGTCTAAACCAGGACTAAACCAGGACTAAACCAGGTCTAAACCAGGTCTAAACCAGGACTAAACCAGGACTAAACCAGGACTAAACCAGGTCTAAACCAGGTCTAAACCAGGACTAAAACCAGGTCTAAACCAGGACTAAACCAGGACTAAACCAGGACTAAACCAGGACTAAACCAGGTCTAAACCAGGTCTAAACCAGGTCTAAACCAGGACTAAACCAGGACTAAACCAGGACTAAACCAGGTCTAAACCAGGACTAAACCAGGTCTAAACCAGGAAACTAAACCAGGACTAAACCAGGTCTAAACCAGGACTAAACCAGGTCTAAACCAGGACTAAACCAGGACTAAACCAGGACTAAACCAGGTCTAAACCAGGACTAAACCAGGTCTAAACCAGGTCTAAAAAGGACTAAACCAGGACTAAACCAGGTCTAAACCAGGTCTAAAACCAGGTCTAAACCAGGACTAAACCAGGACTAAAACCAGGACTAAACCAGGACTAAACCAGGACTAAACCAGGTCTAAACCAGGACTAAACCAGGACTAAACCAGGTCTAAACCAGGTCTAAACCAGGTCTAAACCAGGTCTAAACCAGGACTAAACCAGGTCTAAACCAGGACTAAACCAGGTCTAAACCAGATCTAAACCTGGACTAAACCAGGACTAAAACAGAACCAAATCAAGACAAAAACAGCACAAAACCAGGACAAAACCAGGCCCCTGCAAGACTACAACTAAACCAGGTCTAAACCAGGTCTAAACCAGGTCTAAATCAGGTCTACACCAGGACTAATCAGAAACCAGGACTAAACCAAGTGTAACTGTGAACTCGAAGACTAAACCAGGTCTAAAACATGACTGCATTAGGTCTGAACCAGTCGAACCAAAAAACAGAATTAAATCAGGTTAAACTACAAACTAACTAGACCAGGACTAAATCAGACCTAAACTCAGGAGTAAACAAAGACCAAACCAGGTCTAAACCAGGTCTGAAAAACCTGCCCATAAAAGGTCCAACTCAAAAAACATAAAAAGATTTATGTTTGTGGTGACTCAGGGTTTATATGGACCAGGTCTGTGCTTATACGGCTGTAAACATCAACTGTGGGATCAAACGAGGACTAAACCAGGACTAAACCAGGACTAAACCAGGACTAAACCAGGACTAAACCAGGACTAAACCAGGACTAAACCAGGACCAGGATTAAACCAGGACTAAACCAGGATTAAACCAGGATTAAACCAGGACTAAACCAGGATTAAACCAGGATTAAACCAGGATTAAACCAGGACTAAACCAGGACTAAACCAGGACTAAACCAGGACTAAACCAGGACTAAACCAGGACTAAACCAGGACTAACCAGGACTAAACCAGGACTAAACCAGGATTAAACCAGGATTAAACCAGGACTAAACCAGGATTAAACCAGGACTAAAACCAGGACTAAACCAGGATTAAACCAGGACTAAACCAGGATTAAACCAGGAGGACTAAACCAGGACTAAACCAGGAATTAAACCAGGACTAAACCAGGACTAAACCAGGACTAAACCAGAGAAAACCAGGACTAAACTAGGACTAAACCAGGACTAAAGCAGAATTAAACCAGGACTAAACCAAGAAAAAAACAGGACTCAGGACTAAACAGGACTAAAACCAAGGACTAAAACAAGGACTAAACCAGGACTAAACCAGGACTAAACTAGGACTAAACCAAGGCTAAACCAGGACTAAATCAGAACTAAACAAGAGCTAAACCAGGACTAAACCAGGATCAAACAAAGACTAAACCAGGACTAAACCAAGACTAAACCAGGACTAAACCAGGTCTAAACCAGGACTAAACCAGGATTAAATCAAATCTAAGAACAAGCTAGGACTAGACCAGGACTAAACCAGGTCTAACCCAGAAGTAAACCAAGACTAACCAAGATCTAAAACAGGACAAAACAAGATCTAGTGAAGAAATAAATTACTCCCAACCCTCCCGTCCTGTTTGGTCCTTTTCTGTCATTCTGACTCTCCACAGATCTGACCTGTGACTTGGTCCGGTCTGGTTTGGTTTGGTTTAATGCCACACTGTGAAACATTCCAGACAGAGCAATAACATCTCCATAATTAAACTGCGTAAAAATCTCCACGCTGGGTCATATTGAAGCCAGTTTTTTTTTTTTTTTTTCCTTAATCGGTTTTGACTGTTGTCCAAACGTTCACCGCGTCACACGTCGTCTGCATCATTACCCAGAAGGCCGAGCGGCGCTGACACGGGGCGGGGGCTGTCCACATCTTTGTCCCGGGAGAAAAGTGAAACAAATGAATCGAAATGACAGAATCTCTCCTCGAAAACTGCTGACGAAACGAGACCGAGACGACAAGAGGAATGTTTGATCTGGTTTATAAACGAAAGCCCAGTGTCCTTATGCTCCGGGTCACGTTTACTCTGAACCAGGACTAAACCAGGTCTGAACCAGGTCTGAACCAGGTCTAAACCAGGACTAAACCAGGTCTAAACCAGGATTAAACCAAGACTAAACCAGGCTGAACCAGGTAAACCAGGACTAAACCAGGAACCAGGTCTAAACCAGGACTAAACCAGGACTAAACCAACTAAACAGGTCTAAACCAGGACTAAACCAGGACTAAACCAGGTCTGAACCAGGTTAAACCAAGACTAAACCAAGACTAAACTGAACCAGGTCTCTAAACCAGGAACCAGGTCTAAACCAGGTCTGAACCGGGACTGAACCAGGTCTAAACCAGGACTAAACCAGGTCTGAACCGGGACTGAACCAGGTCTAAACCAGGACTAAACCAGGTCTGAACCAGGTCTGAACCAGGTCTAAACCAGGACTAAACCAGGACTAAACCAGGTCTAAACCAGGTCTGAACCAGGACTAAACCAGGTCTGAACCAGGATTAAACCAAGACTAAACCAAGACTAAAGCAGGCCCAAACCAGGTCTAAACCGAGACTAAACCGGGACTAAACCAGGTCTAAACCAGGTCTAAACCAGGACTAAACCAGGAACCAGGACTAAACCGGGACTGAACCAGGACTAAACCAGGTCTAAACCAGGTCTAAACCAGGACTAAACCAGGACTAAACCAGGACTAAACCAGGACTAAACCAGGACTAAACCAGGACTAAACCAGGACTAAACCAGGTCTAAACCAGGTATGAACCAGGTCTAAACCAGGACCACAGACTAGGTCTAAACCTGGTCTAAGCCAAGTCTAAACTAGGACTAAACCAGGTCTAAACCAGGTCTGAACCAGGACTAAACTAGGTCTAACCACAGACTAGAACTAAACATGGTCTAAACCAAGACTAAACCAAGACTAAACCAGGTCTAACCACAGACTAGAACTAAACCAGGTCTTAACTGAGACTAAACTAAGACTAAACCAAGACTTTACTAAGACTAAACGAGATCTAACTGCAGACTAGGACTAAACCAGGTCTAAATCAGGTTTAAACCAGGGCTAAACAAGTACTAAACAAGGACCAAACAGGACTACACCAGGTCTAACCACAGACTAGGACTGAACCAGGTCTAAACCAGGTCTAACCACAGAAAAATACTACAATATGTGACCAGTGACGGCTCTAGACTGAAAACTGTCATTATTTTTAAATTCACACAAAAAGAAAGAAACAATTAAATCCACAAGCGGCATTGAGCGTCCCTCCCTCAGGAGCCTCGTGTGTGTGTTCCTGCAGCTTTGGGCGGCACCTGTCACACACACACACTGAGTCAACACACACTCTGAGTCAACACACACCAGAAGCACCGATGCACTAACACGGAACAACAAGGGCACATTCAAGCATCACCGTGGCAACACTGTGCAAAATAAAATGCTGGAGAAAACTTGAAGAGTCACTGTGCAAATAGGTGCTGAAACGGGCGGGTTTTAACGTTCTGACATTTTGCGGGCGGGTAGTGATTACACACAGGCGGGTCAGGACTAAACCAGGACTAATCTTGGACTTTTGAGAGAAAGAGAACCCCGAACCCGCGGCGACGGCTGCGCTGAGCCCCATGAGGTGCGGAGCTCTGCAGCGGTCGTTAAGCCCGCGATCATCCGAGGGCGTGTCTCCAGGCCAGTCCCGACACTCAGTCCTGGTTCAGTTCTGGTTTAGTCCTGTTTCAGTCCTGGTTTAGTCCTGTTTCAGCCCTTTTTTAGTCCTTGTTCAGTCCTGGTTTAATCCTAGTTTAGTCCTTGCTCAGTCCTGGTTTAGTCCTGGTTTAGTCCTTTCTCAGTGCTGGTTTAGTCCTGGTTTAGTCCTTGCTCAGTCCTGGTTTAGTCCTGGTTTAGTCCTGGTTTAGTCCTTACTCAGTGCTGGTTTAGTCCTGGTTTAGTCCTTTCTCAGTGCTGGTTTAGTCCTGGTTTAGTCCTGGTTTAGTCCTTGCTCAGTTCTGGTTTAGTCCTTGCTCAGTTCTGGTTTAGTCCTTGCTCAGTCCTGGTTTAGTCCTTGCTCAATGCTGGTTTAGTCCTGGTTTAGTCCTTGCTCAGTCCTGGTTTAGTCCTGGTTTAGTCCTTGCTCAGTCCTGGTTCAGTCCTGGTTCAGTCCTGGTTCAGTCCTGGTTTAGTCCTGGTTTAATCCTTGCTAAGTCCTGGTTTAGTCCTGGTTTAGTCCTTGCTAAGTCCTGGTTTAGTCCTGATTTAGTCCTTGCTCAGTCGTGGTTTAGTCCTTGCTCAGTCCTGGTTTAGTCCTGGTTTAGTCCTTGTTCAGTCCTTGTTCAGTCCTGGTTTAGTCCTTGTTCAGTCCTGGTTCAGTCCTGGTTCAGTCCTGGTCTTCTGCTCAATAAAAATTCATTTTGTGATTGTAATTCTTTGGTATAATCCCGGGTTAAAGGGCGGGTGCGGTGCTGTGCTGCAGGTGCGGGCAGGTGCGGGCAGGTGCGGGTCTCAAAAAAATGAATCTGTGCACATTACTTCTCAGATTTAAGTGTTAAAATAGAATAACAACAGTCGGAGAGTGAAATGGCCAATACATTTTCCCACAAACACACACGTAGTGAATTCCTGCAGACGTCTGTGATTAGAGACAGTAGCTCCGTCGCAGAGACAGGTGACTGAGAGGTCAAGAGTGAATTAATCCGAGTCTGACCTTTGACCTTTAGAGCCGCCGGCATTACGCATGAATGAGTTTGTCGATGAGGCGCTAATTATTCTAATTATTCATCTCCACAATGAGTTTATAACAGTTTTTTTTACAACTTTCAGAGGGCAGAGTGGGGTTTTGTCATCATGCTAATAGCAACTACCATGCAAACTGCGTGCTTCCTGATTCTCGGACAATAAAACTTCTTGTAATCATACATATTTTGGGTTTATATGGAACAGTGCTTAGTCTGCCTGTCAAAATCATGTGTGTGATCATGAAGAGAAAAAAACGGGGCTAAACCAGGACTAAACCAGGACTAAATCAGGGCTAAACCAGGACTAAACCAGGACTAAACCAGGATTAAACAAGAACTAAACCAGGGCTAAACCAAGACTAAAACAGGGCTGAACAGGGCTAATCCAGGACTAAACCAGGAATAAACCAGGATTAAATGAGGATTAAACTAGGGCTAAACAAGGACTAAACCAGGACTAAATCAGGGCTAAATCAGGACTAAACCAGGCTAAACAGGCTAAACCAGGGCTAAACTAGGACTAAAACAGGACTAAACAGGATAAAACACTAAACAAACAGGACTAAATCAGGGCTAAATCAGGACTAAACCAGAAATAAACAAGGATTAAACTAGGGCTGAACAAGAACTAAACCAAGGCTAAACCAGGATTAAATCAGTGCTAAATCAGGACTAAACCAGAATTAAACAAGGACTAAACCAGGACTAAACTAGGACTAAACCAATAAACCAGGGCTAAACCACTTTCTGATTCTCGGACAATAAAACACTTTGAATTTAGACTTTTTTTTTTTTAATCTCAAGAGCTGCTTACACAAAATGGTACAAACCATTTAAAACTATTCTGCTGGGTCATTTTCTGTAATTCTCTAATAATTTACTTAATAATTTACCTATTTTTATAATTAAGTTTATATATTTGTGTAAAAGTAGGTACATATCAAATAATTCAACATTTTATATTATTGCATTTGAAGGCAACAAGTAAAAATCACACGTTTTATCGAATACCTGGTTGTACGGGAAAGGTGCACTGTGTAACTTTGCCTGCCAGTAACTTATCTCCATGGAGACGTTAACGCTTTACATCCAATATTCCAAAGTAAGGCATTAAACTTTTCCATCTCTACAGAAAAAAGCATGAGGCTAATTCACAGTAAAGTTATTTTGAGCAATAAAAACACCATAATAACCATATATACATCACAAAATATAATTATATATATTATAGTTTAATACTATATCGTGGAACATTACAGACAACACAGTAGCATCACCATGGTAGCGGACCCTCGACCTGGAGAGTTATGCAGTGCACCTTTAAGGAAATTACGGATGTAGGACATTAATATTTATTTTGTACCGACTCAGATGTTTGGACGAGCTATTTTCAGTCTGCCTGTTTATCCAGAGTCTATGAAAGATGAACGTCAAAACTAGTTTGTTTTTATTGTTGCTCCAGGCCTTTTTCTCACAGGAAAAAATGTTCATCCAGTCCATGGGATACGAAACTGGAATCATCGACCAATGGAGGATCGGATATCGGCTTCCGAGAGGTCGGTTCAGTCCATATCCCATTTTGGTCTATAAACTGGTGTAACAAGACGATTTAGTGGCCAAAACGTCTCACGATATTAAACATGTATTTTTATTGTTCTATACAGGGTTCCCACTCTTATTCACTGACAAAATTTCAAAACTTTGCCATGACTTTTTCATGACCTAAAGTGAATTTTCCATGACTTTACGGCACCTACATGTGTAGAAGTAGTATGAAATGTTAATACTCTCCATTAAGGATGTAATGATATCCAAATCTCTCGGTACGATATTTATTGCGATATTTTGAAGAGGAATAGAATAGAATAATAGATAGGACATTTTTTGCTTTTAAAACACCTTGACAAGATTTTGGTGTGAATTTTTTTCCATCATAATCCCAAGAATTCAAGTAAAAACCATATTTCTTCATGTTGTTTGAAATGAATCATGGGATATGTAGTTTCATTAGCTGTTGCTTCTATAAAACCATGCATTTAAGCAAAGAAACTTATAATTAGAAATATTGTGACAGCCCATGGTATTATTGTGAGACTTTTGACGATACAATATCACAATAATTCGGTTATTTTTACATCCCTACTTTCCATTCACTTCATGGTTTGGTATTATAGTTTTTTAATGTTCAAAATCCTGACAGTGCATTTATTGTCGTCTCTTTTAAACAAAAGGCACACACGTTCAGAAATAATCGTAATAGTCTAACTTAACAGGACGCCGTAGTTGCGTGAAAGAGATACTAAAATTCCATGACTTTTCCAAAACTTTCATTGGCTTTACAAAATTCTATGACTTTTCCAGGCCTAGAATATGACATTTCCATGACTTTTCCAGGATTTCCATGATCGTGGGAACCCTGTCAATAATTACAAAACACATTAGATATTTTTTACCTGATGCTGTTTGTTTTAAATGAAATAAATAATATTTTCAATCTCTGTTCCAGTATCGGTTGATATCGGGTATTGGCAGATACTTAAAGCCAAAGTATCGACATTGGCATTAGAACTGAAAAAATTAGGACTGATATTATACCATATTTTTTGGAATATAAGTTGCACTTTTATCATGGTTTCGGTGGTCCTGTGACTTATACTCCGGACTTATATATGTTTTTTTCTTCTTCATTTCACATTTTTTGGCTGGTGTGACTTATACTCCAGAGCGTTTTATACTCCAGAGCCACTTATAGTCCGAAAAATATGGTAATAATTAACCATTTAAAACAAAATAATAGATCTTGAATAGTGAAAAATCTTCAAAATGTTTCCATAACAGGGAGCAGGAACTCATGAATCTACATCAAAAACACGTATACGAACATGCTGTCAGTAAGAAAAGCAAAATGGAAGAGTGACAATTTCTGGTAAAAATCATTATGTCCTATTATAAATATTATTAAACAAACAGACTCCTTTTTATCTTAATTACGCTTCTATTTTCATAAGATCGACAGAAAGAAAATTGGAAAAAACCCGGAGAACTTTCATGATACAATTTAAGAAAAATCTCTCATGGAAAGTAAAAAAATATATTCAGATAATTACTAACACTAATATGACTAATCCTGGGCCTCACCTGCTGTTCTTCCTGCTCTTCTTCCGGCTCATTTTGCTGCTGTTATCGTTAGCATTAGGCGCTAGCAGCTGGCTCAGTTCGGGCAGAGCGTCCACGAGCGGCCGGAGGTCCCCCACCACCGGGGTGCTCTTCCTGCGCGCTGCAGCCACCTCCTGCTCGCGGCTCTGCTTGATGGAGCTGATCTCTGAAAAACAAACAACAACAAATAAGGTTTAGTGCGGAGAGAAAACAGGTTGAGTTGACGTTACATAACATTTAAAAAGGAGTTTTACAGTTCTACGGGGTGTTAATTGCAAACACATTTAGATCGACATGTTACCATTTACTGCTTTGAAAATGCTGTATTCGCTGAAAATGTTTAATTAGTTTCAATTGTTTTGATACTCTGAATCCCTGCTCCCTAGTGTATTATTTTGAGTAAATTGTTGTGAGCTTTGGACAAACTCGTACCGCTAACTGTAAGGAGGGCCCAAGAGAGATCTCTAGATTACTCGAACATGCATGGATGACACTTAAAGGGCCACTAAACACCAAAATCACTTTTTTTTCAACTGATTATCTGTGTAAATGTGTCTAAAATAGAAGTATACCCATCCTTGGTCTTATTTTGGCTTTATTTTAGTGCATATTTGTTAAAAAATCTGACTTTTGGGTCAAATCCATGTCTGTAACAACCTCTTTAGGATGAACTACGGTGAGGACATTTGAATTTCTGGGTTGGACTAACGGTCGCTCAAGAGCCAGATGCAGTTTATTACGTGATGAGCGCAGCCACTAGCGTATATGGGCGGGACGTGAGAAGGCCCTCTCAGCCCCGCCCCGCCCCGACCTGGCACCACGATGTCCCGCCATGTCTGGAGAAAAGGGAAACAGCGTGATCGAGCACAAATGTCCACTCTGTTTCAAAGTCCAGAGCGAACCTGTCTGTGCTGTTTTGGATTGTTGTGGCTGTCGATTTGCTGTCAATCATCACTCCAGAGCCCTCCCCACACCCGCTCCCCCCAACCCGCCGGGCTCTTTAAAATCTCTTGGGGCATGTGTTCTCTGTCAGTATAAATAAACAAAGCATGTTGTCAAAGTTTTATATACAAGTTTGCTACTAAGGAAAAAGACTGCAATGATAACTAAAAACACATTTTTTTAGACAATATGTATTTTTAGACAGTAGTCATAGTCATAGTAGAGACTAGTAAAGACCATTGTAAAATTATTTTGTAAAGTGTTCATTTTGTCCTTTTTATGCAATTTTTCAGTATTAATACTTGTTCAAATGAGTATCTATAGATTTTTTCAACAATCCCAAACTAAAGTCACATAAATTCGTTTAATATCATGTCAAAAATTGGCAGCATTATTAATATCAAAACAAATGAAACAGAAAAAGGTTTTGTAACGGTAAAATAAAAGTGAAAAAATGCATATCACACTCCGGTGTTCAAAAGCTTTTTTTAAATTTTTAAATAATGTTTCGGCAAAAAAGCCTTTGTCAGATCATTTTTCTTACTTTGGACCACAGTATGCATCATTAATATGACAAATGAAACCTAAAAATTATAAGATATGTAGATTTTGTTCAAAGATTTGGTTCTAAAACACTGAAAAGCTCGTGGAGTAATTTAGACCCGAGCGATAAACACAAATACGAAGTTACAACAACGCGAGTGGACCAAAAAACGCTGCACAAACACGGCTACGAGTCCTCAAAATGGCCGCTCCTTTTGTTATAATTTCTCTTAATTCCTGAAAACCCTCTCGTCCGCGGAGCTCTGGTTTCCGATCGAAGCGTTAGCGCCTCATTAGCGTCCTCTGCGGCTGGAGACAGGGATAGTGTTGTCTTACACAGAATTGATTGTCTCAGCACAGGGCTATAGTTTCAGGCTGATGGCAATTATGGAAAATGATGATGATGATGATGATGATGAGGAGGAGGGTGGGGGAAGCGTCTCGGGAAGAGGCAGTCGTAATTACAAGAGATACAGGAACGAGCATTTGTTTTTTGGACCGAATCTGCAGAATTATGCTCACAGTCAGAATGTTTGTTTATCTTGGTATTTTTGAGCAATAAAACCACCTGTAATTGAATAAATGTAAAGTAGAGCTGTTTAATGTCACACTGTGGAACATTCTAAGCCACGGGTCACCAAACTTTTTTCTCTGGGGGCCACATTATCGCTCCTGACTGTGATGGATGGAGGTATATTAGAATTGTTTGACCCTGACGATGCAGATTATATTCTTTGAAAACCGCCACGCTTTCTTTACACATCAGACAAACTGCACGGTCCAACACTGAACAAAAAAATAATCGGTTGTCCACTGTTTTTTGAAAACTCGTCTCTCTCTGTCAAGTTTTCATACTTTAACACTCGACATTTTGCTGTCCTTAACTGTACTACAGAACTCTGCACGTGCGTCGACCGTCACTGTTTGATCTCGAGTTTGTCAGGTGATGACAATTCGGTGGCAAATGTAAATACGTCATATAATAATTTAAATATAAATATAAATACTTCATATAAATATACTTTTTAATTGAAAAAAAAAATCAACAAAATATAAAATGCAGACGTGTTATTACTTGCCAGAAAGTAATTAAAGAAAAATAGGCCATGTCAATTTTTGAGGATTGCCTCATCGGCCCCATGAACTGGGCCGGTCAAAGGGGAGTGGAGGGCCGGAGTTGGCCCGCAGGCCTTAGTTTGATGACCCTTATTCAAAGCAGAGCAATGACATATCCACAGAAACAAGCAGGTGACAGGTAAGTAATATGTTTCACTGGTAATAAAAGTGCATTTTTGTTATAGGTCATCTATACTCAAAATTGACTCTTGTGAGCTTTAAGTCATTGTTACTTTGTCAAAAATATACTGTATTTTTTGGACTATAATGCGTAAATGAAGAAAAAACATAAATAAGTTGCACAAGATGATAAGTGGTACTTTTTGGGGGAAATTAATTTGATAAAATCAGAGACCAGGAACTGACATTTCATCTTTAAAGTCAAGTTCTAGTAAAAACAACAGAACAGAGAACAACAGACTGTTAACGTCACATATGAACAGTTCTTCAGATAAACTATAACATAAACAACAGAACAGAACAAGTTTAACAAACTCTCCATCTCACTCCAAATCACTAAATCCATTCAATTCTTCATCCTCGGTGTCACTTCTGAGCAACTCCACGACCTCCGGAGGTAAACAGAGCGCCGCTTCCTCTTCTGTGTCGCTGTCGTCAGACTCAGCATCAGTTCCAGTTAGAATTATTCCGGCCTTTCTGAATCCCGACAGGATGGTTTCAGTTGTCTTTATGTTTGTTTAAATGTTCAATTTTCAGTGGTGCAGAAGTAATGGTGCGATCGACTGACATGATACAGACAGGACAGAGGCTCTTTCTGCAGGAGACATGTGCAGTAGAGTGAAGTGACAGTGGTACAGGAGGAACAGGAGCAGCAGATACTCACACACAAGACTAGAACCTCTTGACGCTTCATTGTGAAAATTTTAATATATAAGTCGCAGGAAACACCCAAACCATGAAAAAAAGTGCAGCTTATCGTCCAAAAAATACGGTACCTCGGGTTTGTATTTTGCGTCCTTTATTATGAATCTGTCTACATCTCCAAATCTCAAAATGCTCTGTTCCACCTTGTGATGTCATGTACTGGTAGTTTTCAAGTTAACAGCTTCTTTTTTACCTTTTGTTCAGTAGAGATTGGCCCTTTAATAAAGCCTAATGCTCCAGCAGCAGTTTGAACTTGTATTTTCGCATTATAAAAATGTATTTATGTCAAATCATGTCAAAATAAAAGTCTCACCTCTGACCAACGCTGTTCTCAACACAGTGAAGTTTTATCACTGAATCATGTCCGGATAGAGATATTTTAGGTAGATATACAACTCTAGTTAGTGTTGACAATTTGCAGTTGACAGTTCTACTCAAAACACTAGTCTTATTTTGTCTATATCCTCATCTCACAGGCTCACACACTCAAACACACACACATTCATCTTGTTTTTAGATTTATTATCTTGTTCAAAGATGCTTCATTCTAGTCTAGAGGTCGTTTATTTTAAGATAACTTGTCAAGTAGAATAATCTTGCTGCATGGACGGATAATTTCACTAGTTTTAAATCATTTTCTGATCATCAAAAGTGTTTATATCTTAAATTTTGGCTTTTTTTGTGGAGTACTTGCACAGACACACACACAGAGGTACTCACTGTTGAGCCAACGATCCCGACGCTCCTTCATCTTCTCCTTCTTACTCTTCAGCTTCCTCTCCTCTGCACCTGTCAATCAAAAACTCCACATGAGCAACTTTATTTTAAAACAACTCGAGATGTACTTTACTGCAGAATGACGAGTTTTATAAAACCTCTTCAGTATTCAGTTTGAATCCAGTTATTTTAGTTTGACATTTTTGCAATTTTGGCATCGTATTTTAGCATATTTTTGCAGTTAATACATAAAAATCACAAATGGTTGCTTGGATAATTTCATTTTGTTTTCATTTTAACTTAAAAATCAGATATGAATAATTATTAATGATCCAAAATGACACAAAATGGCATAAGTTCCAATAAATAAAAAATAAAATAAATAAATAAATGACAACTAACAAATGAATAGCAGGAAGTTTGTGATTGAAAATTGTTAAAAAGATAAAAATTCTTTCGCCAAAACCAAATTGTCTTATATATATTCTTTCTTCTTATGCAGGTGTCAGTATAATGGTGGTTTCTCCCATTTTTCCAGAGCCCCCTGAACGCAGCAGTGGCCTCCCGTTTGTAGTGGTTGATTCTCTGGGGCAGATTTGACACATTATCAGTCTGGCCACCTTGAGTTTCCTGAGTCCGGATGTCGAAACCGCTGGGACCAAATGAACCACTCTCACTCTCTATAGAGATATCTGCTGTCTGTTTGGGAAGATTTGACTTAAAAAAAATATATTTACAGAGAAAGACGGATCGTTTTAAAAGGGATGGTTTGAATATTTGGCTGTCGGCAGTGCAACAGTCACAAGATTTATCCCAATAAAAATCATCTGAATTGCAACAACTACAAAAATACAAAAGATTAAAGTAACACCTTCTTAAATATTTGGCTTTCCAAGTAACACAAGGGCTTGTCTCAATAAAAACAGACATAAAACATGCCTAAAAAGAACCTAAATATGGACTAAATCAGGCCTAAGCTGGACAGAAACCAGATCTAAATCCAAAAACGCGATTGAATACACAGTCGAGATGTAACAAATCTGTGTATCATTTGTTCATTCATTTTTCAAAATAAAACCAAAAATAAGAAAATTAAAAAACAACCTTTCCTTCATTATTTGTCTCCAAAACCAAAATGGAAAAACAGATAATGATTTGTTTTTTCAGTTTTCGATTTTGTGTTTAAATGAATAATGAAAAAAAAAAAAAAAAAAACAACGGATAATGGACTAAACAAAGACTAAACCAAACCAAGACCAGACCAAGACCAGACCGGGACTGAGACGGTGACCAGACCAGGACTGAGACCAGGACTGAGACCGGGGCCAGACCGGGACCAGACCGGGACTGATACCGTGACCGAGACCTGAGACCAGGACTGAGACCAGGACTGAGACCAGCACCAGATGTCACCAGATCAGGACTGAGACCAGGACTGAAAATGGTTTAGTCCTGGTCTAGTCCTGGTCTAGTCCTGGTTCAGTCCTGGTTCAGTCCTGGTTGAGTCCGTTATCTGTTTTTCCCATTATTCATTTAAAAATAAAATTGAAAAAACGAATCGTTATCAGTTTTATCATTTTGGTTTTGGAGACAAATAATGAAGAAAATTGTTGTTTTTTTGTTTTCTTATTTTTGGTTTTATATTGAAAAACGAATGAACGAATGATACACGGATTGTAACAATATCCAAATCTCTTGGTTCGACATTATCACGATCTCAAGGTATGATATTTATTGTGATATTTTGAAGAGGCTGATCAAACTGTAGATAGGACATCTTTTGCTGTTAAAATACCTTGACAAGATTTTGGTGTGAATTATTTCCGTCTGTTGCTCTGTTACACCTTGTGATGTCATGTAGTGGTAGTTTTCAAGTTAACAGCTCCTTTAAACCTTTAGTTCAGTCGAGATCGGCAATTCCAGGGCTAAAATTATCCAAATGATTCTAGTGAAGGTGTATGGAGCACTTCCTGTATTACCACGAGTGTTTCAGTTTGAGAGAAGAACTAACTCATCCTACATCTGCAGGGTTTGTGAGTTTTAAACATGTGTGAATGAAACAAAACACAACTCCAGGTTTGTTTGTGATCCGGAAACATTAGAACATAGATCAGAAAATAAAATAATACAGGCTCTTTAAAAACAATAGCTGGACAGATGAAGTAGTTTTCCATGATGTGTGTTTGGGCCTATCTCACTTCCTCCTTGGTTTCCTCTTGTTGTTTAGTTCAATAGTGTTCTGTTCAAGTGCTGCTGGGAATTTTAATGACTTATAAACTTAGTCACAACAACAAAATATACAAAAATAACATGTGCAAGTCTGATCACCTCAAACTAAACACTCAAGCCACAAAAATACGCGAGAAAAAGAAAGTTTTTTTGTTTAATTTTGGTCGTGTTTGTATTTATTCTACTGAAAAACTTGACTATGAGTGGGCTCGCATCCCCACAAACCCGACTCTTATTTGTAATTATTTCCTCCACCTCCTTGTTTCCATGGAAATACTGTTCCTTTAGGTATAATAATCCACAGTACGGCGTAAAACTTGAAAAAATGTCCATGGAGAATGTTCTAAAGTTTGGTTTTATCATTTGGAGTCACCACCTCGGGAAAGTTCCATAGTGCGGTTTTAGGCTTATGGGTTTCAGAGTGATGGCGCCATGGCAACTAACAAGTCAGAAATAAATATTATACCTTTTGAATGGTGAAAAGTCCTCAAAATGGCCGCCTATAAACAGGAACCTTAAGAATATAATCTACAATAACAGTGGATCTTTATGTTATAATTTGCACTATGTAACTTTGTGGTCAGTTTGATTGGTCCGTCACCTTCTTGTTTCCATGGATACGCCATTGCTCTGTCTGGAATGTCCCACAGTGTGACTTTAAACAGCTCTACTTTACATTTATTCAATTACAGGTGGTTTTAAAGCTCAAAAATACAGAGGAAAACAAACATTCTGACTGTGAGCGGGGTCGCCTCTCCACAGATCTGACTTGTAACTTCATCTGGTTGGGTCTCCGTGAAGATAGAAAGGTTTAAAGCCATACTGTGAAACATTCCAGACACAACAGTAACATCTGCATGGAGAAAAGCATTTGGAAAGTTACACAATGCACATTTAAATCACAATATTCCTTTAAAAAAACAACTTAATAAAAGAAATAAATGAAAATGGGCATTAATGTGTCTTGAATATGCGTGATTAAAGTGTAAATTAACGGCTATAACATGATAAAAAATCTCTGTAAAGTTGATTTTGCAGAATAATTCCGCTTTAAACGCCCGTAAAGGTCTAGGTAACAGTGTATTTAGCCTTTTTGGAGCTAACCTCGGCCCGAATATAATGTCCCACCGTCACTTTTCTCGGGCTCTACACAGATTGATTTCTGAGTGGTTCACATCACGCGCGGCTGCTCATCGAAATGACATGTGCCCTCTGAACTTTGACCTCTGCGGCTGCAACAGGGAAGAGCTGGAGGCGACGCGGGCGATGAGGGAAGCACGGCCAATACAAGCTCGCAATACAAACACAATTTAAAACGGGCAAAGGGAACAGAGCAGGGATTTAAATCTGCAGTTTTATGTTCAGTACATGTAAAATAATGAAGATATTTTAAAGGTGCGCTGTGTAATTTTTTTGGTTAAGGGTCCGTCACCTGCTTGTTTCTATGGATATGTCATTTGATCTGCCTGGAATGTTCCACAGTGTGACATTAAACAGCTCGACCTTACATTTATTCAGTTACAGATGGTTTTATAGCTCAAAAATACAGAGAAAAACAGGTATTCAAACAGTGTGCAGGGTGCAAAAATATCAAAATATCAATATATCGTATCGTTTAATGTGATGTTACAGTATTGATATTGTAGGCTGCTGTATCGATATATCACCAAGAGTATTTTTTTTGGTATATTTTACTGAATTATTTTGTTACAGACCTACAGCTTTGTTGCTTATTTAGAGGAAGGAAACTCGTTCATGCGACACATTTGACATTTTCACTGTTTTGATGATTAAGATGTTTGTGTTTCATATGAACTTTGCACAAGAAGTGGTTTAACAAAGACTTTCAGGCTACGTTTATATGATGACAGTCTGAACAGAAGACACACAAGTGGCGCCGCGTCTTCACTTTTTATTCCGTGTTTAGACAAGCATTTTAGGGAGGAAATATAGTGATGCAAAAGTGTGCGGAATTCGACTGGGTATGCATGCCAGACGACCCGGTGGTTACTCTAGGTGGTGATGTATGTGACGTAAACGCGTACGCAACCTGAGCAGATCTGACCAGAGTTTTGCGTCTTGGGCAGTGTAGATGGAAACACTACGGTGGAGCGTATTCAACTTTTCCACTCTGGAGGGTGGTTTCAGATTTTTGCGTTTTTAAGACCCAAAAACGCCGTCACCGCCTAAACGAAAGGCACTTCGGGTAAAAAAAAAAATTTGTTGTTTTTACCCGCAAGCGTTCTCGTGTAAACAGACCCTTAGTATCACAGACATGATTTAGAAATTATTTTTTATTATATCTATATATCTTGTATCTAATTGATTTGAAATATATCGTATCGAATCGAAAGTGCGCTGTATCGAGATATGTATCGTATCAGCAATTTCTTAATGATACCCAGCCCTAATCGCCTCTCCACAGACTTGACCTGTAACTTGGACGGGTTTGGTCTCCATGAAGATGTCAGGAGTAACATCTCAAAAAAATGCATTTGACTGAAAAAAATACACACAGCACCTTTGTCAAAAAGTAACTCAACCTAAAATATGCACTATTGACACTTGACACGTCACGCTGGAGTTGTTCTACGTGTATCTCTAAGGTGGATTGTTCAGCAGTCACCATGGAGACACAACTAACAACATCACCAAAACACTTTTAAAATGTTTTAAGACAATCTCAAAGCCAAGAAAAAATCCTAACTGCATTAAAACGGCACATTTTCAGGAGGTCGTGTGAATTTTAAGCGTGAGTGACGATAAACAACTAAGTCAGCGCTTTCTGGTAACATCCGTGTTTCAGTTCCGCTTTTGACCCTCTGCATTTCCCCCCTCCCTTT